CAACCTTGTTAAACCTGATGCACCCCCACGCAACCTACGCACTCCCATTCAACCTTGTTAAACCTGATGCACCCCCACGCAACCTACGCACTCCCATTCAACCTTGTTAAACCTGATGCACCCTCACGCACCCTGTGCACTCCCATTCAACCTTGTTAAACCTGATGCACCCCCACGCACCCTGTGCACTCCCATTCAACCTTTCCAAACCTGGACACTTATTTTCTATCCTATAAACCTGATTCGCAGCAACTCACGAAGAGCCATTAAAATGGTAAACACATACTGTCTTATCTACTCCCTTTCTTTATTACTCTTTCTTTATATAATGGCTTGAGGAGAAGGGGTAAGCACCTGACACGTACGTTTTAAGGTGTAAAAAAGGTAATTATTTCTGTAGTTGCAGTTTTCGAATAGTTGCAGTAATAAAATTACAACGGTGGAATATTGACAGCTGAATTTGCTCAAGTGAATGTTTAAAAAATCAAGAATTACAGTATTTGTGGGAGTGCACAGGATGCGTGGGGGTGCATCAGGTGTGGGAAGGTTGAATGAGAGTGCACAGGTTGCATCGGGTTTGGTAAGGTTGAATGGGGGTGAATCAGGTTTAAAAACGTTGAATGAGAGTGCACAGGGTGCATGGGGGTGAATCAGGTTTAAGAGGGTTGAATGAGAGTGCACAGGGTGCATGGGGGTGAATCAGGTTTAAGAGGGTTGAATAGGAGTGCACAGGGTGCATCAGGTTTAAGAAGGTTGAATGAGAGTGCGCAGGGTGCATGGGAGTGCATCTAGGTTTAAGAAGGTTGAATGAGAGTGCACAGGGTGCGTGGGGGTGCATCAGGTTTAAGAAGGTTGAACGGGGTGCACAGGGTGCATGAGGGTGCATCAGGTTTAAGAAGGTTGAATGGGGGTGCACAGGGTGCGTGGGGGTGCATCAGGTTTAAGAGGGTTGAATGGGAGTGCACAGGGTGCATGAGGGTGCATCAGGTTTAAGAGGGTTGAATGGGAGTGCACAGGGTGCATCAGGTTTAAGAAGGTTGAATGAGAGTGCACAGGGTGCATGGGAGTGAACAGGAAGTTGAATGGGGGTGCACAGGGTGCGTGAGGGTGCATCAGGTTCGGGGAGTTTGAATGAGAGTGCACAGGGTGCATGGGGTTGCACAGGGTGTGTGAGGGTGCATCAGGTTCGGGGAGGTTGAATGAGAGTGCACAGGGTGCTTGGGAGTGCACAGGTTGCATGAGAGTGCGCAGGGTGCGTAAGAGTGAGCGAGGGGTGTGTGGGAGAGCCTAAGGTTGAGGTAAGAAAGAATGAGAGTGCAAAGGGGTAACGTTATATGTAGAATGAATTACTTATGATACTTGGGGTACACAAGTTGTAGTAATGTGTGCATGTGTTTGCATGTGTGCATAAATTTTGCATATATTAATAAATTATATTTGCATATATGGGAAAATACCATGCTCCCGTTACCCACAATACCGTACCAAACATGACGTAATTCGGACTGTTCCATTCTATGTAGGTATTTGCTACTTTGGTATCATGGCCGAAAGGGAAAATACCTAGTTACATTATTTTTCGGCGATCGTGACTTTTTGTAAGGGACTATTTTTAGTACTTCTAAGGTTATAAAATGAGCTGTTTGTCTTCGAATAACATTGATCGTAAGAAATTTGAAGTATAAGTGTCTTGAAAATCACCAGTAAATTTGTGTGTCAAAGGAGTTTATATTCCGGTGTATAAAATCATTAGGTCATGAGGTCCACATGTTAGTATCAGTAGAAGATATTAAGAAGGTTGACATTCAATTTGGTCGAGTGTTGCTAGAAACTGTTCCATATCTTATAATAAATTAGTTTATTGATATATTTGTTTTGTCTGTCTGCCTGTCTACATCACTGTTGCTGTGCACATCACTTTCGTTCACCCCACCCATTTGGTACGTCTTAAATTTAAGTAAGCAACCAACAAATCGCAAAAATTATCATTAACTTTTAATATTCTATAAAGCAACACAAAACAAACTCAGCAACCATAAAAAGCTATTTGATTAACATTTTCTAGTTGACATTCAATGTTGGTTTATTATAGAAAAGTCTTGCTTGTGAGGACGTCCCATTAATTGAAATTCCGTCCTAGTATTCCGGTTTATTTAGATTGATAAACTTGTTTATAAAAATTTTTGTTGATAAGATTTTGTGTTAAACTTGAGTGATGCAAGGGAAATAACAGCTCTTAAATAAACTGTATTTCCCACAATTAGTCGCTTATTGACCCATAACCATATAACCTTCTCCTTTCAAATTGTATAATTAGCCGGTAAAAACGCCTATTGGCATAACACACAACTTTTGTTGAATATGTAAACTCCTGTAGTACTTCTGGAATATCCAAAAATGCCTTCAAACACATGTAACTACGTTTAACAATGCTGGAAGTGGAGTACCATGTTGTAATTTACTTGCATACAACGCCTCTTAATAATTTCCTTATCTTTTATATTGCCATAGTTATTCTTCGTTGTAACCTTAGTCTACTTTATTATCCTTACCATTTGCATGTCTGTATTTATTTTTGATTCACTTTTGTAATGTTCGATGACGACACGAACATAAGCCTCGAGCTTGAGTATGTCGCCATCTTGCCCTTTTTAAAATGTTGCAATAAAAAAAACAATATGTTTTGCACGACGTCTTGCTGCAGAAGGCATAATCTAGGCCAAAAATAAAAAAAAAAACTAATAGATTAAACATGACTTAGTACCAGGTCAACAACTTAGATTGTCGACCGGTGTTCCTTAAGATGACAGCAAGTCAGGACCGCTGGTGAGCAAGGTTGGCCTTGTCAAATCTTTCGCTTGAAGATGTTTCTAACGGATAAGGTACTCGCTGTAAAAGCACATGTTGTCATGGTTTCTCCATGGCTGCAGAAAATACAGACAAAGGCTTGTAACGATGAATGAACACAACAAGACGACATCCATGACTTGGCAGACGGAAGCCATCGCTCTACCATGGAGCAAATACAACACATTGATATGGTACTAATTAAAATAATTTCCCTTCTTTTGCCATTAATTTAATTTATTGCCATAAAAATCTTATTGGTCCTAATTCATTTGAATGACGACAGATATGTGATATGTATATTTTGTATGGCTATTTAAAAGGTAAAGGTACGGTTATCTGTTACCTTCACGGACGGCAGCTTACTTCTTCGCCCCTTTTTGTTGTGGCCTGCCTGTGATGGGGGAGAAAAATGACAATGAATTTAACACGACGACACACTAGTCAATTGTCTTATTAATATAATTTTGATATCATATTGTAATACAGAAGTAAGAGGTTTATTCAGCCTACGTTTCGGTGACCGTCTGTCACTCACCATCCTCAGGGCGATTCAGACTGGTTCACATTGCACAACACAGCTGTCGCTGCTATAGAAGCGTAACAGAAAGCAAAGTACAGGTCTGCACTGTGCAATATGAACCAGAATTTTGTGAGGATGGTGACAGACGGTTAACGAAACGTCAGCTGAATGAACCTCTTGGCTATGTAAAAGAGTCTCTTCTTTTCGTCACTTACCAACCTGATGAAGCTATTCACCGTAAAAACACCATATACATGTAATGAAGAATGTGGTAATGAAAAAAAATTACGTTCCCGCTGTTCTGTTTGAATATTAAATCTACACTTATGCGAAGCAATACATACCCATTTGCGATAAATGTTCACTTAGACCATCCACAACTCTCTGCAGCCCTGCATTTGACAGAGCCTCCGTCAGGACCTCTTTGGTAGCGGAGTTCCCTCCCCGCTTCTGCCACTCCCTCAACATGTCCATACAGCGGGACTGACCATCAC